AATATATTAAGTTTTTCAATTTCACCAAAGAAAAACGATTAATTTAAATTTAATAAATGATTACTGGTAGAAAAAGACTTGCTGTTTTTTCTAACTCTAATGACTATTAAGTGATACTGATAATGTCATAATAATGATCCACATAAAAGATTGGGGATGAGCAAGTTATACCCATCAACTCGTTGAACCCATCAAACGCGGTAAAAATCGACATGCTAGAATCGGATGGATAGATCCATCAATATGATTGGGTCCTGAAATGGAGAAGACCCGTGGTTTTGGGTCTAAGACGGGTTCAAATCTTTTTAATATCTGTCCCGCCCCGCCATACAAAATGACGTTGTTTTGTTTGTATTATGTAGTATAATAAATAAATAATATATAATACATGAATACAGTATCTCTTACATGTCAAAACTTATATGTGTAGCGATGATATCCTCTCATTTTGTCTATAGTTGTCTATTTTATTTTACATCTTGTCTTATAAAGCTTTGAATTTATTTGCAATTTTTAATAAATTTATGGTTCAAGCTTGTTACTTTTAATTTACTCTTGATATTATTCACGTTGGTTTCAATTAGTGGTGAACAAATGGCCCGCCCGCGGCCATGAACACCGGCCCGTCTGGCCCACGGGCTCAACCCACCCGGCCTACTATTTTCACGGGCCGGCCCGCCCGGCCCATGGAGGAAAACCATAAGCTCAGCCCGGCTCTTTAGCCCATTTTTCCGTATTTTGACGGGCCCAACAGGCCCAAGGCAAAAATTAAAAATTATATAATTATATAGAATGAGTTTATAAATTATAAAATTATTTAAAATTATTTTATAAGTAAGATACATATTTATTAAAGTATTTTTTGATATTTTATTAGTAGAAATAAAAATAAACTCATAAAACTAACAGAAGTGAAATAAGAGGAAAACAAACAGAAGCAAAATATTTTATAAGTTTATAGAATCAAATGTAACATAAGCAAAGTAACAGAAGCAAAAATAGAAAAATAAAATTAATGAAAAGTTACAGAAGGAAATATAGGAAAATTACAAGGATTTTTTTTTTCAAGTTCTTGATTCTTTTTTCCTTTCAATATACTCTTCAAATTGTCCTTTAGAATTCTTCAAACTAATTTTCAAATTTGTTGTAGTTGGCCTTCAATAACCTTCACCGCTAAATTCCCCACGTATGTCATATTCATCGGGACTATCGTCATCTTTGCCTTGGTTGTTTTGTTGTTGACTCCGTTCTTGATTTCGTAATTCGGCTTCAATCCAATCTTGTGTTCAAACCAATGCCTCCACATTTCTTGGTGATAGTCTATTTCTCTCGGCAGTTAAAATTTTTCCACCTGCACTAAAAGCCGCCTCCGATGCTACCGTGGACACCGGAGTGTTTAGTAGATGATCACGTGCCATCATAAAAACAACAGGATAATGGTGAGCATTTTCTTGCCACCACTTCAAAATATCTAAGGATTCATATTTTTCCGGGGTGTTATGGTAACTTCGAAATTCTAAATAACGAACTAGTTCATTAGTTCCACTACTACGCACATCATCTTCCTCTAACAAGCTCCAAGTAGATTTGCGATTTTTTTTTTTGAACTAGATTGGCTAGAAGATGGAATTGAAATGTTTGTACCAAAAACCTTCTTATACTCCTCGTACAAGCTATACAATAATTTTTCAACTTCCTCGTATTTTCTCATTGCGGTGCCGGCTACTTTCGATGGGGACAATTCGGAACACATGTGTGTATAGTATCCTTTGAGTAAAGTTTGTAACTTTCTAAGTTTAACTCTAGGATCCATAACTATAGCAAGCAAAGATAATAGTTGGATATCTTCATAATACTTAATATATTTGTCTTCCATTTCGACTACCTCTAGCCCAAAAGCCTTGTCTTTTCTATAGTTTGCTATACTTTGACTAAGTTGCCACAATTCTATAGGTAACATGTTAGAAGTGGGATACAACGTACCGGAATAATTTAGTGTTGCTTTATACCAAGGTTCTAACATGTCTTTAATTCTTGCCGCTATAGCCCAATCATCTTCAATACAAACTGTAGTAATTTTTTGGGCTTTATAAAATTCTATAACGGGATCCTTTAATTCTAAAGCCCTACCAAGCATCAAATAAGTAGAATTCCACCTAATATCATCATCATTAATCGGCCTCTTAAATTTAACACCATATGCTTTACACAATTCTTTAAATAAATACATTCTTTGTCCGGATTGTCTAATATAGCATACCGAATTTCTCACTTTCGAAATCGAAGGAGAAAGTACCTTAAGACAATCGTGAACACACAAATTAAAGGAGGTTTAATATGTCTAAGTAGCAATTTAACCGAAGCGGTGTTGTTGGTGGCATTATCAAAAGAAATTGTCGATATCTTTCGAACAATATTATAATCATTCAAAACACCAATAATATGCAAATAAAGTTGACTACCGGTATGAGGAAATTCACAAGTTCTAAAACTAATTATCCTTTTTTGAAGGACCCAATTATCATCGATCCAATGTGCCGTTATACATACATACCCATGCTCATTATTATGTCTCGGAGTCCAAGCATCCGATGTAAGTGCGATTTTACACTTTAAAGTGCAAAGCTCATCTATTAATGGTTGTCTAAATTTTTCAAATTCCTTGTATGAATCCCAAGTAATTGTTGGTCTAGAGTGTGGATCATAATGGCCATTAGCATGTCGCATTAACCTAACAAACGCGGGATGACTAGGTGTAGAGAAAGAATCTCCCTTGTGTATAATGTACCTAACAATTTCGGATCTCTCAATCTTTCGGTGAGATGTGAAACCGGAGTCACTAAGTTGAGTTTGTGTCGTAGAATTTTGCATGTCTTTCAAGTGTTTTTCGGCATGTCGTTTAAGATGACTAGTCCCCGCATTGGCTTTAGCGGATAAAACATGTTTGCATTTTTTACACTCGGCCACATAATTACCGGTTTTAACATCCTTAGAAATTCTAAAATATTCTAACCAAATGAAAGTTCTTTTTGTTTCTTTCGATTCATTAGTTTTACCCTTCCCTTTTCCTTTAGACATCGGTGGGGTGAGATTACTACTAGCACTAGGTTTTGTACCCTTATATTGAACATCATCATCATAATCATTATTATCATCCTCTTCATCATCATCTATAATCGGGATTGGCTTAGAGCAATAGGGAGTTGTTTCGGAATCAAAATCGGTATAAGGGGGAGTTGTTTCGGAATCAAAATCGGTATAAGGGGGAGTTGGTTCGGGAACATAATCGGTATGATGCTCATAATTCATAGATTTGTTAAGCAGAGCAATTAAACTATCATGACCATTTATTTCGACTGTATCATTAACGGGGCTACGGGGGCTGATATTCCAATCCATATTTTTCAAATAAAAACTAAAATAAAAAATTAATTTTGCAAATAATTAACAATACATATTCACAAATAGCAAAGCATGATATAGTTAAAGTAAACAACAATAAATTTTTAAAATAATTCGAAATAAACTGAAGAAGAAATAAGTTACCCAATTTGGAGAAATTGAATCTTGGTTTGAAGAAATTGAAAAGCAATCCCCTTCTGGAGTGTCGTTTCTCCCTCGATTTTCTTCAATTCCTTCCAATCTCTTCTTCGGATGTATAGAAAATATTGTGGAGATTCTAGAGATATGGTGGAAAATATTTTGAAATCTAAGAGAAAACTAGAGCAAATTAGAGAGAGCTTTGGGATAATGTCAAATTGACAATAGAGAATAGATGGGAGTTGATTGAATTGTGTGGAAATATTTGAGAATTTATTGGTATTTATAGATTGAATAAGAAGCCCCAAAAAAAAAAGTTGTTAAAAGAGCTATTGGGTTTTCTGTAAAAAGTTACAGCAATTTTCAAGGAAAAAAGAAAAAGAAAAAATAAAATAAAAAGGAGAGAGTGCAAAACGAATTTTTTGAGTTATTGGCTTCTTGCCTTCTTAGGCAATGGACAATGAGAAAAAAAAATTGGGCCAATGGCGGGCGGCCCACGAGCCCGCTACGGGCCACGGGCCAGCCCAGCCCAGCCCACGGACTAAAACTGATGCCCAGCCCATGGACTTATATTGCTGGGCTGGGCGGGCTAAATCCACGGGCTTGCTGCGGGCGGGCTTCACGGGCCTGGGCCGCGGGCCGACGGGCCTGGGCCGAATTTTGTTCATCACTAGTTTCAATTTAAGATTTTACAGTTGGTCATTCATTTTAATTTCTAAATAATTTTGCGAAAACTTACAAATTATTAGAAAAAATAACATGAGGTTTAAATTATGCCGGGTTTTGACACGTGAATGTTGGGTCCTACTATAAACCCGACATGGACCCACCTATCCTAAACCCGTCGAAAACCGCAAGTTTGGTTCTTTTAAATCAAGAACCGCTGGTTGACAGGATGAGAGCAGGTTTTGGTAGAACCCGTAGATTTATGACCCGGTTTTGGTAGAACCCGTAGATTTATGACCCGCGCACACCCCTATAAAAGATACACATAAAGTTGTAATAAACAAATTTTTTGCAAGCTATTACAAGAGAGCGTAGGTTTATCCAGTGCACCTCTAAAGTTGACTGCGAGTTCCGTCTTTACAAAAAAAAGTAATAAACATATTTGAGAATTTGCTATTCATACATATTTCTAACTTTTTAGAAATTGCAAAAACTACCTATAAGGCGACCAACAGGCTTCCTCGAGTGTCGGACGAAACGTCCGAAACGCAAAAACATTAAGAAGCTGAAGTCGTAGTACATAGAATATCATTGATTCTCTAGGGCTGGTTGATTTTTGTTTCTAGTTAATAGAATAGTAACTGCATCTCCAAAGTCCAAGCCATATGAATGTTTGAATGCTAAAACGTCTAATAAGTTATTATACCTTTTGACATGCACACCAAAATAAATAAATAAACACTTAATTAAGGAACATTAGGATGAGAGGAAAATAACTTCAGTAAAGGAACATTTAAGAAAAAGAGCAACTTTATTTAAATACTTCACTTTCAATAAAGCTGAGCCAAGACAACAGCATTATCGAGTTATTAAACAAGTACGTTCGAAAGAGCGAATTTTAAAAATATTATCCACCATGAAACTTCAAAACATGGGGTCAAGACCTACATCCCATTCATAAAATCTAGATCCGAATATGAAATACCCACTACAACAAACCCACACTCTAATAGATTGTTGCCAACATAGCACACTTTATTCTAACTCGAATTTCAAAATCCACCACCATAGATATATCATTTGACGTACCATAAACGAGTACAACCAGCTTATATCAATTACTTAGTGGCGGCGATGTGCTTGATCAAATCAACCACACGAGTGCTGCAAAAGAAGATGAAATATAGCATCAGTCTCGATGGGTTTTATCAGCAAAGATTGTGTTCTTTATATTCTCCTGTTATGGAAACGGATTTTGTTAGAATTACCTGTAACCCCATTCGTTGTCGTACCACGAAACGAGTTTGACAAAGTTGCCGTTCAATGCAATTCCTGCTTTCGCATCAAATATACTCGACCTATGGTTTCAACAAATATGGATTCTTGGTTAGCATGCACCACAATAATTGGGGAATCTTATTCCCAAAAAAAAAAAAAAAATTGTTATTTGAATGTAAAACCAAAAGATGCCGACACTATACAAGCTCTCACCTGTTGTCACCCACAAAGTCGGTGGACACCACATCATCTTCAGTGTAGCCCAAGATTCCCTTCAAATTTCCCTCTGACTCCTCCCTATCAAGAAAACCAAGTTTAATAAATGGTAAAAATGACATGCGTTTCACCGCCAATTCCTCCATATTGTTTTAGAATAAATTTAAAGTACAACATCAAAAAAGGTGAACTGGATATTAATTAATAAAAATTGCCCCGCTCACTTGATAGCTGCCTTAATTTCATCATAAGTGGCAGCCTTCTCCAATCTTACGGTGAGATCAACCACAGAAACGTCAACAGTTGGAACACGGAAGGACATTCCGGTCAACTTTCCATTCAGAGCTGGAAGAACTTTGCCAACAGCCTTCAAAGTAAACATGAAAGTGACATCAGGCGTGTGTGTGTGTGTGTGTGTATGAAATATCACTCAACTTAGAGATTATTGCACAAAGGATAATAAACTCACCTTTGCTGCTCCAGTGCTGCTGGGGATAATATTGAACGAGGCGGCTCTTCCACCTCTCCAGTCCTTGGCAGATGGTCCATCAACAGTCTTTTGAGTGGCTGAACAACACAAGAAATAATATATATATTATATATATATGCACAAACACGATAAAAATGAAGAAAAAAAAACGAAAAGGAGATATTACTACACGTACCAGTAATGGAGTGCACTGTGGTCATAAGTCCCTCGACAATACCAAACCTGTCATTAATAACCTGCGAGTTTGAGCAATATAAAGTTATAAACTCATTAAGAGACATTTCATAAAATTTAAATTAAATTTGAGAGACAAGACACTGAACAAACCTTTGCCAAGGGAGCAAGGCAGTTTGTGGTACAGCTGGCGTTAGAAACGATGTTCAGGTCTGAGGTGTATGACTTTTCATTGACACCAACAACGAACATAGGTGCGTCCTTGCTAGGTGCAGAAATGATGACCTTTTTGGCACCACCCTGGTAGTCAATAAAATGTAAGAGAGACATTTACATTGGAAAAATAACTTCAAGGAAATTCCAATAAGATAACGTGTTTGCAATGAGAAAAATGACGTGTAACCTACTAGATTAATTAAGTTTAATGTTTTGCTTCATGGGCACAATTTAGATTCAACGACGTGTCCTCGCAGATTAATGAAGTGCATAATACTAATACCATTTTTAAAATCCACTTCGTCAATTTATTGATTCAAATTTTCAAGTTATTGTTGCATCAGCACTCTGAAGGAACTAAATGCACATGATGTAGAAACATTTTTCAGTGTCTACAAAGGAATTTTCAAAAATCACACATCAAGAAAGCCAATGTGCACCGACTCACCCGAACTAGAAATTCACCATTTTCCAGGTAAACGGGAAAAAAACATGAAAACATATAAGATCATAATAAAGCTTCGTTCTTTCAACCACAAAAAAAAGGTACAATGCACAGACACCCACCCACACACACACACACACAAACACACGCCGCAAAAAAAAGAGTCAACTTTAAATTCAATAAGCTTCGAGTAAAACATGTTTCAAATAACCAGAAAGTTTCAACCTGTGGATGCAAAATATAACCGACAATAAGGTGGCTACAGCTTAGTAAACCAAGCAAAAGAGAGATCTAAATTCAAGATTACTTGCTAGATATCAAACCTTTAGATGGGCTGCAGCTTTGTCTTTGTCAGTGAACACTCCAGTTGACTCGACAATGTATTCGGCACCAGTTTCACCCCATGGAATCTCTTCTGGGTTCCTTTTAATACCATCAAAGTTGAATAGGTCAACAATTAACAGATTATAAATGATAAAATAGAAATTGAGGATATATGATGCCAGGCTTATGGGCAAAGAGAAAGGCTGTACCTAAAGCCGAAAACAGTCACAGGCTTCTTGCCAAAGAGAAGGGTCTTCTCATCCTTAACCGTGAGCTCGTCGTGCTTCCATTGACCGTGGACGCTGTCATATTTGAACATGTAGGTCTGCAGAAATAGAAACACAAACATTAAATAGATTTTCTCTGAGAATGTCGAAACACGTAGAGCAGAGCTAAACCAAGAAAAAATAGCTCTACCGACATGGAAAGACACACATACCAAACATGATCACTACGAGGATCAAATAACTGTATGGGGTTGGGATAGAATTTGGTGGTTGACTATGAAAACGAAAGAAATGATATTTGATCCGAATGAATAAAAAAGACATTTACGGTTCTTTTAGATAGATTTGCAAATCGAACCAAGCAAGTCCGTAAAAGACGAAAAAATTAAAAAATCAGATTTCTTGCTGACTTGGCCGACCTTAATGAATAATTTCACAGCAAGAATTATAATTTGGTTATGCAAAACCGACTGATCATTCCAAACTCGTAAATTTCTTTTTTCTTTTCCAATTTTGAAAAATATCCCCAAAAAGCTACGCAACCGCCGCATTCACAAGGCTAACTCACATTTCTAATGTGTGCAAGAAATTAACTCCTACCGATCAAAGTTCAGCATCGAAACATTTCTACTACACATAATAATAAACAAACACACCATAACTATTTCACCTGAAAACCAATCAATCACCATTCATACATGATAAATACAGCAAAAGACCAACTTTAAAGCAGAAAAAAGAAATGGACCGAAAAGAAAGGAAGACGAGGCAACGTACCATGTAGTCAACGGTGATGAAGGGATCGTTGACTGCAACAAGCTCGACATCGTCTCTTTGGAGAGCAACCCTAGCCACCAATCGCCCAATTCTTCCAAATCCTTCATATAATAAGCAATCGAGCAACAGTTAAACAAATTCTAACTCAAAAAAAAAATCGATTCCGATCTTAATTAACGTAATGAGTTGAGTTCAGATCTAGTACCATTGATTCCGATCTTAATCTTGGCTGCACCAAAAAAAAAACAGAGAAAATTAAACACCAGAAAAGCTCAGATAATCAAGCTAAAAAATATCAACAGAGGAGTGCAAAATCGGAAATAAAATTGATGTTTACCCATTTTTTCCTAGAGAGAGAGAGTGAATGATCGAGAAGAAATGAGCAGAGTTAGAGAGAGAGAGTGATGAAGTGTGACTACAGAACTTTGTGTACTGGGGTTTTAGATATAAGGGAGAAGGACCGTATCGGAAAAATATACACGATGAGGAGTCTGTGAAATCTGAGCCGTTGATTTGTTTGACTAATGTGTTGTTGAGCCCTTGGTCTGCGTGAAAAGGTGGATAAATAATTTTGAACTCAAATAAAAAATATCCTGCCACTTTTTCTGGAAGTTTCCGAAGAATCAACGGCTGAGATTGTTCTCTTGAAAAATAGTGGACAGTTGCATGGCCGACTGACTCACCCTACACCACTAGTGTTATCCTTGTCTTCACCTCAATAGTGGAATGTTTTTCTTTTCAACTCCAAATTATTGACTTGAAAGAATATAAATGTGAACATTAAGGGTATGTTTGGAACCGTTTTTATTTTGTTTTCATTGTTTCCCCAAAATAAAATGGGATTTATTACACTTTTCAAATTATTTTCTCAAAACAATTTCAAAAGTTTCTCTCTCCTTCAGACATGATGTGACTGTTACAGTAAAATGATTGGACTGCTACAGTAAAAAATGTCTTCACTAAAAAACAAATAAACATCACTTCACCTTTAAATTTTTTTCTTCAAACATACATTTTTCTAACACATTTAAACATGATTTGACTTGCTACAGTGTATTTTGTCTCCTTCCAAAATACAAACAAACATTACTTTCATTCTCAAATTATTCCCCCAAAACATATTTCCTCAAAATGAAATCAAAATAAGATCCAAAACGCTTCCAAACATACCCTAATTATGTGATTAATATTTGTCAAAAAAAATAATACTAAAAACAATAAGTTGACTAATTGAAGGTTGTATGTGTTGATGGAATGGATCGAAATTAATTTTCAATTTAAACAAATTCAACTTTGAGTAGTTCATTTTACAGAATAAACTGTAATGGGTATCGTAAAGAGTATACTGTAAGTAATTCATCAGTTCGGATAACACATATTCATTTCTTTTAAATAATCTAATAATCCCAATTGTCTTTTCAATCTCTTTTGGTAAAATTTCTCTGTACATTCTTAATTCTTAAAATAGTTCTCTCCCATTAATATCAGAACATGTATCACATTTCAAATGTTCTTCAAGTTCACCAAATTTATCTTCAAGCTTTCATCATCGACAAGTTTCCACTTTTTTTTAAAAAAAAAAAAAAAGACTAAATATGTCTTCAAACTGTTGGAAGTCTCGAAATTTTATCCTTAATGAAGTAAGAGCTTGATTAATCACAAAGAAGACAAAGTTTGTTCTAAAGGATTCTTCGGATGTTAGGGTAACATATTTATTGTTTTTTTCTCATCAAAGTGTTTTCTCGTTAAGGTAACTCGTTTCACTCGGATAATTGGTTGGATGCTCTTTATATTTCCCTATAACTTCAGCTTCATTCTTGGTCTGTTTATATCCAGTTTCTCATACTTTTTAAATAAAATAATGAGTCATTTCAACTGTTGCACAGCAACATCCATACGCATTTCTTCATTATCAAAATATTTACTAACAATATTCACAAATGTTAATAAATCATACCAAATAACCAAAGTTAATAAGAACTCAAAATTCTCAAAGTCATTTGTTACAAAACCTAGAGCCTCGTTGGTCGCTACCTCATCTTCATTGTTAATAGCGAAATCCCGTAAAACACCCCTTATTTCTTTGATTTGAAGAATGAATGGTTTTACGCTTTCAATACGACTTTTCCATCTTATTTGTGACAATGGCTTAAGTGTTAGGTCACCCACATTATATTTTAAGCTGCTCCATCGTTTTGTTGAGACTGTGGCAACCGCATGTTATATAGAATGCTCTTGAATTTTGATCAAACAATGTTTTATGCACGTTTATGTATTCCTTTCATATTAGAACCATTGTCATATTTATGGCCACTTATATTTTTACTGACAAGCTGAATATTTTTCAACGCCTCTTCAAGTTCGCTGAAAAGTCTAAGTCACGTGGTATCATCTACTTTGAGAAAATCCAAGATATACTCTTTCACTTTCGTTGGACTTACCATAACATCTACACATCGAATCATAAGAGTCATTTGTTTTTTATGACTAGAATTTGGATTACAATCAAGTATAATTGAGAAATAATTTTTTTTCACCTCAATGAACTTCAAAAAAATTCCATTTAATTTTGAAAAGTGTCTCCTTGCTACCACGGAATGCCAAGTTTTGTTGTGAAATAATTCTTACAAGAGCAATTATCCTTAATAGGACTTGTCAATAACCATTCTCTCTATTTATTTTCAAGTGCAAAAACTTATCAATTGTTTCACGTTTACACATTCTCATCTCCATTTTAATTAGCCAACTCATGCACATAATATGACTCAATCGTTATTGGTTTTATTGGCCAATCGAGCCACTTTGGAACCATATGTTATGACCAATAACCGATTAATTGTTTCGTGAAAAATGGATCTAATTTTATTTTTTTTTCAAAATACAAAAAAAAAATCAACGCAGGAATCTGGCGGAATTTTTTTTTCAGAAAATAAATTATTTTCTAAAATTATGAAAATGGGGTTAATGTGATATATTTGTTCAAATCCGGGGTCAATGTGCAATATTGATGAAGTTAGAGTGCAATGGATAAAATTGATGAAAATAATATTATGAGGGGTATTTTAGACAAAAGTTATAGGAATGGGTTTATTTGCGAGACTGTTTTTTGTCTGGATTTATGTGCATTTAAGTCCATTGTCATGGATCTATTTGCTATTTATCTTTAAAAAAATATTTGATAGTAATAATAATGTTAAAATAATATAAACTACCAAATATTAAATTAATTATTTTAATTACAGAGATATATTATAAATTAATTTTGATTGCATGATTGTACTATACACTAAAATTGAACGAAAAAACTATTTTGGATAATGGTACATGATGAGTTTATGGTGATTAGTGAGAGTATTTGAGTTTCTATTAGGACAAATATTTGAGGTGAATGATTAATAGATTGTTTGTTCAATTAGGGCTTGTTCGGTTACCGTTATAAGGTTTTACTGACTAAATAGTAGGGGCTAATAATATGTCGGGTTGGTAAGATTCACATTTTTTCAAAGCCGCTACTAAATTCAAAGCTCGCTATTAAATGCTACTATTTCATTAAATTAATAGCACCCATCCCCCTGAGATTAATTTAATAGGGGGTGACTAAAAATGAAAAATACAATTTTATCCTTAAATTATATTTTATTATTGTAAACTAAGTGGTTTTATAGACAATTCATATGTAATAACTAATTTTAACAAGTTTAATAGAAAATCTAATCTAAGAAACCGAACATGCTACTAACTAAATAATTAATTATGGAGTTAATCCAATTTAATCCAATATAAGTAACTGAACGAGCCCTTAGGCCTCCTTTGCTTGCTATTATTAGATTAGATTAACTAAATAATAGGAGTTAGTAAGATGTTTGGTTGATAGGATTCAATATTACTTAAGCCTGCTACTAAAGTTGAAGCCCGCACTTAAGTGCTATTACGTCATGCAATTAGCAACACACCTCCCCCCATGCGATTAATTTAGTATGGAGTGACTAAAATAAAAAAAAAATACAAAATTATCCTCCTGATAATGATTTAATTTTGTTAAATAAAAGACTTTATAGACAATTTACAAATAATAACATAATTTAACAAATTTAAAACAACATGTAGTCTGAAGAACCAAACATATTATTAACTAATTAATTAGTTAACTAGTAGGGAATTAATTTAATATAATATAATCCGATCTAATCCAATATGGGTAAGCAAACGAGGCCTTCGATGATGTTAATAAACCATTTAAAATTCTACTATTGGCAATCATATGTAACACGTTTAGGGCGAAAATGTAAATGAAATTTTCGAATTATGCCAATTTCGATTTGAAAATATTCGAATTTGAAACTGTATTTTTCATTTCGATTTTCGTTTTTTTGAATTTATTTGGAACGTAATCGAAATGGTATATGAAATTACCGAAAATTCTGATTTTCAATTCGATTTTAGTTCCGAATATTTCTATAGTTTTTCGAAATATATAATATAATTTTATGATATATTTTGTAATCCCATAATATAATTTATGCTATATTTATATGAAAATATATAAATAGCGAAGGGTTAAGTACATTAAAATCTTAGAAAAGATTAGTTGGTATCATAAACTTTATGTTGCATTCTTCAGTACAAGAAAATATGTGATTCAATTTGTTGTTCTTACATGTGTTTTTATCAGTGTTCTAAAAATCGGTCGAGGCGGCCGATTAATCGGTCTCCGAGGCGGAGGCGGTCCAAAACCTTTACGATTTTAGTGTAAAGGTTTGAAAAATCGGTTTTTTGCCTGTGAGGCGGTTTAAGTATGTCTGAGGCGGTCCGAGGCGGTCAAACCTTTAAGGCGGGTCAAACTCGGTGGCAAAAATAGGTCAAAAACCGATTTTTTTATTTTTTTTTATTTTTTTAATTCAAAATAAAAGTTGAATTTTAATAGAAGATAATATGAGTTTATGCCTTATTTTGTTTATGTTAATTGTTATTGTTAAAGAACTAATGATGTATGCCAGAATGTTCAAGAATAAATTTAAATTAAAAAAAATGTTTTTTTATTTATATTTTATAAGGATATTTATGTATTATGATCTTATAATTATTAAACTTTTATTATGTTATTAGGATATATACATGATGGAGATATAATTATGTTTAAATATCTTTTTATATATGTTTGGAGTATTTATAAATAATATTTAGAAATATATTATATTAAATTTTAAAAACCGATTTATCACCGATTAATCACAGCCGCACCGATTAATCGTGAGTCAGTGCCTGACCGATTCGGACCCGATTACCGCTTTTTACAACCTTGGTTTTTATTTATTGTCTTTTGTCAAACTCTCTTTTTGATTCTTGCATTTTCCTGCAAAATTTCAACCAAATAAAAAAACATTGTCAAAATTTCCGTTATATCTGAATACGAAACAAGATATTATAAAATAATGTAATTTTCGAAATTCCGCCGATTCTGAGGCATTCCGAAATCAAAATGATTTTTGCATTCCGATTTTTTTCGGAACGGAAA